GCCATCTTGTAGGCACGGTCCTTCACAGCTCTCCACACACTACCACAGTCAATGTGTTGTTTCAGTTTTCTTGTTCCAAGAGATCAGACTACAAGAACAGGAGTCAACATGGTAGAAGAGGTAATGCCCAGAGAGATTGTAATTGCCCAGAGAGCGCAGGGCTGTGGTTAGCCCAGGACAGGAAAGAAACATGTGCCATCAAGTAAATGATCTTTTGCCATCTCTCTTGCTACTTCTCAGTTTTAAAGGTAAATGGAGAAAAACAGGCGCTAAAACATAACAGCATGTTGATTACATGTATAGTGGACTGCTTTTCAACAGAAGTGCCAATGGAGAAATGGCCATTTTTTCATAAACTGTGCTGAAACAACAGGAAGTTCAAATGGACCACACTGAAGGAGCTCCCAATGATCAGTGTGGGAACAATTTTGAGCAACACAATCAGATAAGCCTGGATTTTCATCTAAAGCATAAAAATCAATATGTATGAGTTTGTGCTGATATCAAAAATGGTTGGATAAATAAATAAATAAATGAATAACTAATTCTCCTAGGGAGAATTCCAAATAGCTATAAAGATACTCCACCTACAGGGAGAAAGCACAACTCTAACTCCTCAATTAAGAGTATCATATGACCTTTCATCTCATCTAAAGAATACAGTACAGAAAAGGAGAGGGAAGAAGAACTACTCTGGGGAAATTTAACTAACTATTGCAGCCAAACGATAAAGCTAGTAGGTGAGTGAGAATCTGGAGTAGAAAAGAACAGCCGTAAAATGAAGGTTACTGTAATAAGCTATCAACTTTAGGAAATAATAATTTGCCAGTATTGGTTCACTAAATGTAACAATGCATGGTAGTGTAGGGTGTTAATAATAAGGAAACTGAAAATGGGATCTAGGATGACCTTCTGTATTCTCTGCTCGAGGTTTCCTGTAAATCTAAAGCTGTTCTAAAACATGACATCTATCAATAAAAAATCAAATGGCTTCTTTTATTTTATATTATGTACAAGAATTAATTCAAATGAATCAAGGGACTAATTTTAAAACTAAAACTTAAAATTTTGGAAGAAAATGGGAGAAAATTTTCATGGTCATGGGTTAGGCAAAGATTTCATAGGATGCAAAAAAAGCACAGGTCAGAAAAAAAGAAATGGATAAATCAGAAAGATCTATTTATCAAAATTAAAACCTGATTTTCAAAAGATAATAAGAAAACGAAAAGTGATGAACCAAAAGAAAATGCTCTCAGAATATACATAATTAATGAAGTTTTGGGACCTGAAATACATTATGAAGCTTTACAATTCAATGAAAAGGAAAAAAATAAACACTGTAATTCAGAGGGAGAAAAGAATAATATATCTAGTGAATGGAAAATAATTTGTCAATTTCTGATAAATTTATAACCCAGCAAATCCTACTTTTAGGTTATCACCTAAAAAAATGAAAACTTACACCCATACAAGGCCTTGTAAACACATCTTCATAACAGCCTTGCTCACAGTAGCCAAATACCAATTCCCATCCCCTCAAGGTCCAGGGTTCATATATCATAATCCCAAGGAAAAGTAATTGGAATTCTTGAAAGTAAATTCCAACCTACTACTTCCAAAGTAACCGATGATGAGAAAAAAGAGACATACTACGATTGGGGAGTCCTAACTCCAATGGGAACAGAGGCCATGACTCAGGGCCAAACCCAGGTTTTAATAATTCATGAAGAGGGGAGTGGCTTGGGGGTGAGTGACAGTGAGAATAGTGGGAACTATGTGAAGTCTGTGAGCCTGGGCTAAGTAGGAGGACCAATGGCAGTGCTACAACACGCGAAGAGAGATGTGCAGAATAAGTAACAATTCCTTCCTGTAGCAGGCAGCCTCTAAGTCTGGAGGAGTCTGCATAACATAGTTTGAGGAAATGCCTCGGCTCTTACCTGCCCTGGGATATCATTGTTTCTTTCTAGCACCTTGGCTAGACCATTTGCATTGCTTATAGCCAATTGAGGAGGATAAGCGGCTCCCTAGCACCAGCCCCGTGGGTGCGTGTCAGTAAATGGGATAGAGTGAATGTGAATTAAATGAAGGTGAATTATCTTCTTTCAGGGGAAGTCCTCATGACGGTCCTCCACAGTCAAAGATAGACACAGCCCAAATGTCCATCTGCCATCTGCAGGTGGGCAGATGAACAGAACGTGGTTTATTCACCAAAGAAAAGGAATGAATGGATCTATGTAACAACACGAAGGTGTCTTAAAAACATGACAATGAATGCGGGATGAAAGAAATTAGAGACATGAAACACATACATAGGATTCCATGTATATGCAATTCTAGAAGGGAGAATTGAATCTGTGGTTACAGAAAATGGACTGTCAGCTTCCTGGGATGGAAGATTGAGAAAATGAACTGCAGTGGAGCACAGGGAAGATGTTTAGGGTGATTTATAGATATAATTAGCCAAAACTCAATAAGACTTAAATCATTTTGATTGTAAGTTGCACTCGAATAAAAACTTTACTTTAAAAAAGGTTCATATTCCTTTTGCAGCATCTAATTGTCCACTTCCTTAAAGCCCCTATATCACCAAGTATTATTGCAGTTTTGCTTTTTGCCATTCCAGTGGGTGAAAAGTGTAATTTCTGACATTTGAGATAATCCTCCGCTGATTGTGCAGTAGGTAACCATAAAGGAAGACCTTACTGTGGAGTTGCACACTGAAAGTCATTGCCAGTGACCCTAAGGCTAGCGAGAAGGATCACTTTTCCTTCAAGCTTGCCTTTCTAAATCCACTTTTCTAATACTCCACTTTTCTTTAATAATTTCAGTATTTCAGGTTCAGCCCTGCCCTGCGAGCAGCATTGTCTTTTACTGTGTGTCCTGTGACTCTTCCTACCAAAGCCCACATTCATATACTTCAGTGTTAAACTCAGGAACACTTTAGCCCAAGCATATTCTACCCTTATCTCCCCTTCAAACTTATATTTGGATGCAGACATCCAAATATTCTTAAGATTGCTGTTTTCCCAATCTTAAGACAAAAGTCTGATAAAAATTCAGTTTGGGGGCAGTTCCATATCTCTATTAACCAGACTGTCACCCTAAGACACCCCTATGTGATTTGCTAAGGCCATGGCTGATCTTAGGAATCATGTGATCCAGCCTCCACATTTTACAGGAAAGAAAACTGTTCGCATTTATGTAGCTAGTACTGGCAGAGTTAGAACTGGAAAGCTGCACTCTCACCATCTGCCCTGGACTCTTTCTTCCACTTTCTACCATCTCGTGCTGCTCTCCAGCAGAATCCCTGCCAGTGGAAGCACCCAGTTGTAGTTTTTCATGTGGCAAAGCTTTTGGGAAACACCAAACATGCATCGTATGCTGAGCTTGTCCATCACTTTGCCTGCAAAAGAAAAATAATGTGCTTGTAATTTTAAAGATTTAACAAACAATGAGACAAAGTCCTGGAAGATTTCGCTGTGATGGCTGTGAGGAGAGCAAAACATTTGCTTGTGTAGTGGGATGATAGCATGTTTACTTAGAGCAGCCCTAGATTCCGACTTCATCCTGGCATCATGTTTAAGCAGTGCCTTCTTTGTTTATTCTGAAAAATGTCCTCATTGGAAAAATAATTATATTTAACTGTCATTACAAGGAATTTCTAACTAATAAGCAGCATTGTTCCAAATGCTTATTTCTTATTATCAGAAGTAGACAGGGAGTGTTGGAGGGAATCATCTATAATCAACTTCTAAATCATACTAGAGTAGGGAAAAAAGGTCCAATTTTCTCTTTTACTTCTTTGGGGGAAAACCCTACCTCAGTTGACTTACTTGCTCAATTTGTTCAAACATTACTTTAAAAGATTTCCAAGATTCCAAATGTCTGTTCATCTGCTTTCCATAAGTAAATTATAGCCTCATTTGGGAAGGAAATGTTTTGACAGAATGTGATATTAAAGTGCATCAACCAAATTTAACTTGTGTACACAGTGAAGAATTTGGAACCTTTCTGCATATTCAGACCCAAGTTTGACAGTACACGTGTGTCTGGCATGTGCCTTCTGGAAATCTCATGTTGTAATGTTTGGCCAAGTGAGAGCTAAAAATATGGACAGGCTTATAGCTTTCCAGATGTCACATGATGCCAGGTCTGCAGAGTAATAGATTTTTGGTGTGTGCCTTCAGGTCACAGGGCTCCTGAAGACAAGAAAGGGTGGTGTTCTTTTTCTGCACTCCCTTCTTACAACCATGGTTCTTTTAGCCCGAAGTTGCCACAGAGATATCAGCCAACAAAGGGAGCTTTCACTGAGCACAGAGGAGAGTTGGAGATGGCAGCCTGAGAGTTTCCAATGGCTGCTGTAACCAATACCGCAGGCTGGGGGAGTTCAACAACAGAACTTTATTTCCTCACAGTTAGTTCTGCAAGGAACTTTAAGACGGAGGTATTGGCAGAGCTGGCTTTATTCTGAGGCCTCCCCCTCTTGCAGATGGGCACATCCTCCTTGTGTCTTCCTATGGGTTTTCCTGCTGCATGTGTCTGTGTTTTAATCTCCTGTCCTTGTAGGGACACCAGTCACAGGATTAGGGGCCCTCTAATAACTTCATTTGGACCAAGGCCCTGTATCCAAACACAGTCCCACTCTGGAATACTTACAGGGATCAAGCCTAAGCAGGATTTTTATTTCCATTTATCAATATTAAAAAACATTGTCCATTGCTGCCCCTGTACTTGTCACTTGCCACATTAGGGGAGGGGAGTTGTAGTCAGACAAAGGAAAATTTAATGTATCAGTTGCCCCATTCAACAGTTGATAAGCCAGGAATTAAGTTGATAAGCCAGCATGCACTGGTACTTGGTCCTGAAGGGGGAAAAAAAAGAAAGAAAAAAAAAAAAAAGAAAAGAAAGAAGGAAAACGCTCCTAAACTTACTAACTCAGTTTTGCTCATCCTCCAAGAGAAGGCACATCTTCCTGAAGAAAACCTGGTCCCCCCTCCTGGCCTCTGCTGTGTCCTGCCAGAGCCGCAGAAGAAAGACTGTCCCAGCACCTTTTATTTCATGTCTCACTTTGCAGTTCTCCTCACTCTGTGTAACCCTGATTGTCTTCCCACCTACACTAAGTCTTCTATTCTATAGCCTGATTGGTGGGCACAGCTTCTGACACTTAATAAACAGTCAGTGGATAAATGCATCAGGAACTTTTGCTTCCAGTGTTGTTTCTCCACTAAGGGTACCTGACCACTCAACCACCCAGGTGAAACACGGGTGTGGACAAAAGCGTCCAGCCATGGCAGTCTACATCCAACACAAACTCTTGTGTGAAGTTAGTAGAACTGAAGAGTGTCGGCATTCTCTTGCGCACCACTACTTGGAAGCATCTCACACCATCACTCAGATGGAGATGGCATGTCAATTTGTTAGGCAGTTTGCTTTTCATGACCTTGAGGAATGGCATTAAAATGGGCTCTGAACTCTGCAGCTCAAATTCTGAACAGATTGCCTCAATATGAGCCCCAGGTCTGCTATTTATTAGCTGGTGGTTTTGGGCAGTTACCTCACCTCTCTGTGTCTAGCTTTCTCCATTGGTGTAGTGGAGATAATAACAACAAGAATAATACTACATACACATAAACTTCAAAGGGCTACTAGGGGGAGGAGAAAAGTGAGTGCATATAAAGAACTAACTCAGGCTAGCACCTGCAAGGTAGTAAGTGTGACATAAGTGTGTGTCCCTATTACATTATTATCATTCCATTATCATTAATGAAAAAGGAAGCCTTCAGCTTGGTTCCAGCCCATCATTATAATCCCAGTCTGCCAGGCTGTTCACATCATTTCCTGCCCACTTGCATCCTGTGGATCAGCCCCCCCCCCCCACCTGACTCAGCCCAGGACTGAAACTGCAAACAGTAGCTGTCCAGGTCACATACTCTTTGGGCAACTGTTCCCTTTCCTTATTGGATCTTGTGTGTCCTGGAAGGTTTGAGGTAAACAATGTGATCACAGCCCCCAGCTCCAGGAGCCCCCAGGAGAAGAAAAGAGGGGTTGGTGCTGGGAGTGCAAGGTCCGGTGGTTTTCCACTGTGAGGCAGGAGCAGGGAGGGAGGGGAGGAGTGGATCCCACAGGAGCTGAGGCCTGGCAGACCTAGCTGGGAGCTTTCCAATGACTCCCCTCCATAAAAACAAGCCAGCCACCCCACCTCCCAGCACCAGCTGCTTCCACTTCCTTAGCACATGTCCGTTCACCTGGACTGTTTACAGGCTTCACATCCAGCAGTTTTCAAACAGAGGAAAACCGGGGCTTGTCCACACCACCCAGACAGCAGAGATAAGGGGGAATCCAGCTACAAACAGTGTGAAACTGTGCTGAAGAACCCAAGCTCTACCAGAACAACACATTTCCCTTCACTTTTACAGTTTCCTGAGTGGCTGAGGAACCTAGTTCCCTTGTGTGCTTGGACACACCAGGCTAAGGAAGTGCTGGATGCTACAGTGACTTCTAGACTGAACTACTCCCCCAAAAACACGTAAAAAGAGAATCGTATACAGAAGCCCATGTGACAGAAGGAAAAATATCACATTGGAAAGCCTGACTGTCAGCAACCGGAGAGATTTTTAGGTTTGAATGCAGCTCTGCCATCTTGATTTGTGTCTGTCCCAAGATCCTGCCTTCCCAATTGAGAGTGGGATTTTGGCTCACTCAACCAACTCATAGAAGATATCCCTGAAGAGCAGGCTTTCTCTAGAATGGCCTTAATAGTTGTTATATAGCTATCTACTATCCAAATTTCATAAGGATTATCACAGAAATCAAAATAAAAATTTCTCTATGAAATAGAAAATGACAAGACAAAGGAAGAAAATGTAATCTCAGGTCTCCAGGTCATTCAGAACAAGTCCAGGAGATGTCAACATAGAAGAAATTGGAAGCCACACACCTGAAATCTCTGAAATGATAGCAACTGAAGTAAAGAAGCAACTCCAGGTGGGTATAGATTCAATCAGATTGTAAATAAATCTCTCAGGTGAAAAAAGAAATGGCAGCCATAATGAAAGAATTGCTGAGAATATCTAAAGTAGAAATAAATAAAAAATAGAGGAGCATAGAAAAATTATGAAAACCTTGAATGAACAATATAGGAAAGAATTAGAATGCTTTAAACAGATTCAAATGGATCTCCAGGAAATTAAAAACTCCATTAAAAACTTGGCAAAACCACTTGAACGAAACTGAAGATAGACTTTCAGATCTCGAAGATGGTACTGCAGTTATTGACCACTTCAGAACAGATCTCGTAAAATAACAAGGAAGCACGAAATAATAATTAAATAGTTGCAAGATGATACAAAGATGAACAACATAAGACTGAAAGGTGTCAGTGAAAAAGGAACCAATACAAACGGCATAAAAAGATTATTTGCAGAAGTGCTAGCAGAAAATTTCCCAAGCATGGGGAAAAAAATCTAACA